ACAAAGCAGTGAAAAGGTAAACTCACCAATATTTGTATCTCTCCAGTACTGAGCTAAATGCTCTCCCATGGATTTGAGCAAGTGGCGATACTCTTTAGCGTCTGCAAAGTCCTGTTTGTTGTGAGTCGGTTCTAGAACTAAATAGGGAACATCCACTACACCAACAACACCCCCACAGGCCCTGGAAAAATGTAGACAGAGATACTTCTGGAATATTAAAGCGTTTCAGTGTTTTCAAATTGTCATCACCCAATATTTGGCATTAAAATTAAATATTTCACAGCAAAACCTTTGTGTACAATATACTCACATGCCACCTTCCAGCTGCGGCCCTGTCTTTTCATACATTTTAATGAGTCGGGAGCAGTTGTACACAAACATCCCATCCAGATCTCTTTCTTCAATGTTCACTCCAAATACAAAATTCAGTTCCTTGGGCTCCTTCAAGGCTCTGTGCAAAAAAAAAAAAAGTCAGAAATTAAGCACACTAACATATACAACACAAGTTGTATGATGTTATAAGTTAAGATTTAAAAAGTGATCAATATTGCCAAATACTGAATTTAAATGATTTATGCCATTACATCTTATTAAATTCTTTTTTTTTATATAAATCATACTTCTGTTTGGCTTCAAGAATCCTTTTTTTCATATCAGCATCACGCTGCAGCATCATGGCTGAATCCTGAACCTTTCTCAAAGTCACCTAGACAAAGAGAAATTTATTTTTTATTTTTCCACCATAATGTTATTTTTAAAATCCTGGTTACAAAAGGAAGGAAAGGAAAGGAAAGTGAACTACTTCATTGTGACACACAACCAAATGTGACCTCCCTGAGAGGTCTAACCCATCATCAAAGTGAACAGTGGGCAGCTTTAAGCGCCCAGAGAGCAGTGTGTGGCGACGGTGCCATGCTCAGATCACCTCAGTGGTAACTTGGCAGCTAGTAGACTCGAACATGACCCAAGTCTGCTTCTTTAACCACTAAGCCATCACTGCCCAAGCATTAGTGTTAGAGGTATGGAATCTTTTGGCATACCCGGGAATCTCTCGAAATATCGTTTCCTAATCTGGCTTCGAAGTCCAAGCGTTTACTTTCAGCTTCGCTGGCTTTTTGCTGGGCTGTAAAAAAAAAAAAAAAAAAGACAGCAGTTAGGCCAAGTCAGTTAAATTTAATTAGTAAAAAACCAGTACAAACTCACAGATTTTTGCAAGGTGATCTGCTTTCTTGACTTCTTGCTCTGCTCGAGTTTTAAAGCGAGTCGAGGAGTATTTATAAACCCTATAGACAAAAAAAAAAAAAAAAAAAAAAAATTCTATAAAAATCTCTCATTCAAATCAAGAAGATACAGACACTGTGTATAATAAACATATTTAACCTTGGTTTATAAAGGCAACATGACAGTCTTTTAGTCCTGACTTTGTGTCCCTGGATGAAAATCCTCATCCGTGGGTCAATGTACAGAACAGCAGCATACGCTCTGAATGATCTCCTCTCTGGTTTCCTGCAAGACATCATGCAAACTTTTGAGACATGCTGCTAAACAAAAGTGGCCATAAGTTTTGTAAGTCTGTGAAGTCAGCTTTGCAAATACAGTTACTACTACTTACACTCCTTCTGCATGTGTCCCAGCCATGAGAATGTCTTGACGATCTGTGTCTACATCAAGCTCTGGTTCTCTGTTGTCCATCAGCTTCAGATTATAAATAATCACAAGGGTCCCTTTGAAAAAAATATTGAATATCAAAGAAAATAATTTGTAAGAAATAAGGCTGAAAAGAGTGGAGGAATTTATTATCTGTTATATGTAAGCATTACAAATAACCCACAGTAACTTTTGAGAACATTGCTCACCACTGCTGCTTTCTATTTTGTTGAACTGCTTCATCAGCTGCTGTTCATTTTTAAACGGTGAATATTTGAAGATCAGCTCTGTCTCCATGGCATACTTCTCTGGGTCAGAGGTCAGGGGCTCCTTAGTTTTGAGATCCCAGGAAGGTAGGGGAACAATCACCTGAAGAGAAGCAATTAGAAAAGATAAGGTTTACATGTTTTACATATTCCATTTCTGAAGAGTTTGACTTATCTACGTTTGTGGGTTTTATCCAAGCTGCGAAAACTGGTTTATATTTTATAAGGAAATACCCAATGAGGAAATAATTGTATGAAAATAAATAAAACAAAATAATTTACACGGACCTCATCCAGCCCTTCTTCTTCATGGAATGTCCTTGACAGGAAAAGGCAAGTCAGTGAATTTCCTTTTTTGGTGAATAAGATGAAATCTTTTCCAATACGCATAGAGCCACTGTAAACACACATGTCTCATTTAATCATGTTATTTTTTCTTCTTCAAAAACAACCAAGAACAATTTCAATGACACTGTTGCACCCTTACGATTTCAGTCCATTTCCATATTGTCCAATCTGAGTGGACACAGGTGACCTCTTGCTTGACTTTCCAAACTGAATAACATGCATTGCTTCATCTGGAAGAAAGATGGTTGTTTATTATTAATTTTAACACAAAAAATATACAATGACCAACCCAGGTCATAATGACCTCAAACACAGCAAAACTAAAACATGAGGAAAAAGTAAAACTTCAAGTAAAATAACAGTAACTAGGTTACTGACTGGGATCCATTCCAATTCCATCATCCAGGAAACACAGCATGTAGCCACCCCGCAACTCTGTCCTCCTTTCTGTCAAAAGACACGGAAATTAAAGTCAGAAATTATTATAAGTTATGAATTAACTGATGTGCAACATAAAAACAATGTACCTGTATAGATGTCTATTCGTGTGGCATTAGCATCTCTGTAAGAAACAAACCAACAGTGACATTAGAACTAGATTTCAAATTTCCAGGTACGTACTCTACCTACTCGCTGCTAGAGTTTTAGTTTGTATAGTTGCAACAATAAAAACCCCTACCTTGAATTATCAACAAGCTCGGCCAAGGCTCCAAATAAGAACTCATGAGTTGTCCTGAAAACAGACAAAAGTTCATCAATTGCTGGGCAAGGCATTTTAGCAATCACAAACATGATCGCATATAGCAACGTGATAATAAAACCTGGATTAACAAAAAATATTTGACTTCCCATATAGTACAGTACTTACGAATTTGTGTGCAGGTACTCAAAGGTGAGTTGAGCCCTGCTTAGTCTGCCATAGTTTAAGTCCGCCATATTTCCTTTTTGCGTCCTTGGCAGCTTTTTCAATCTTCCTGGATGGATTGTGATCTAGTCCAAAGCTTTCATCCTGCAGGAACAAAACAAATATCCACTATGGACATGCATCTAACTCCAACAACCCATACAATGAATGGGTGGCGCTGGGGCGCTATCAGCTTAACTCAACACTTGATAACAACTAACAGGATAGAAATTTATCCTAACAACTATAAAATAGGCATTACCACGTGGGAAATCGGCATAACAGCATCAAAATGTGGAGCAGTAGTAAAGATCGCTACTAATTGCTGTCAAATGGATTTAACGCGATAGTGTGCATATTTAGGTATAAAACACACAGGCGTTGGGTGTTTTATCTGTGGAATAAGGTTCTAGCTGGTGTTAAGATGTTCTGAACCCATCCTGTACCTGTCATTTCTAAACAATTCGAGGCTAGTTTAGCTAACAAGGTAGCACGCCTCTAAAATGTTTGTGGGAGCAGTTAGCTTAGCTTTGCCTCTATGATTGCAGTGGTGAATGTTATGGAGTTATATTATCACTAGCAAAAACTTTACAAAGCGGGTTTTAAAATGAAAAGTCGTTAGCGCCTCCAAATCCTTAAGAATCCTAAACCGTGGCGTTAAATTTTATCACTCACACGAAAAACCAGTCCACAGGCCGCGAATGATCCAAGCTACCAGTCTGTAACTATGTGATGGCCCCACCTCCAGAATTTATCAATCGGCGGAAAACCAATGATTAACCTCTGGACGGTGATTGGTTTATTATTGCCGTGACGTATGCGAAAAACAGCAGTGGATTAGCGGGAACATTACATTAAATGTAACCCCCCCTTTTTTTAAAGTATCACGTTTAAAGCCTCATGGGTAACGCAGTAAAAACACAAAGTGTTATATTAAAATCAAATAGCTACACATTTAAAAAAGACAGACATGAAGGAAGATTCGTATATCAAGTGTCGCTGGTAGGTCGAAGTTGTTCAATTAAATCGTTCCCTCTATAGGATAAATGAACAATCGAAGACAAAAAATCCCAACTTTTCCCTACCTCACACGTTCTACTAAATGCGATTACTTTGGACATTGTTTGGTTTAATTTTATAATCCAAAAACTATCTGTGGCTAGGCACCAAACTGACAAATATAGAAGCTAAACTTTTTAAATTTAAAATATTTTTTTTAATAAAAAGGACTACATTTTGCATAAGGTAGTTAAGGGTAAACATTACTCACACAGCCCATCTTTAGAGACATAGTCACCTGAAATAGCGATTACAATATTAAGACCCCAAACACCAAAGTATGCTACTAAAATCCAATAACAAAATGTCAGTAAATAAAGACATTTGAGATAGGCAATTTTGTTTTTCCTTTTTTATATATATTGACAGCCCACAAAAAAATTAATTGCATTCACAACACAAAGCGGTGCATTTAAATATATTGCTAATCATTGGTAACCTGCTTGTAGGAAAAAAGGAAATATAATTATAATTTAGGGAATAAATATATGCCTGTAACCAGTTAACTCCTAATAAGAGTTTGTCTTCTAATTTCTATCAATTACCCAAATCAAAAGATACAATTGTTTTATTAACAAGTCACAGAACTATGCATTTTCTATAAAAGGGTTGTTTTCTCTTTTAGGAACATTCCACAGACTTAGTATTGCAGGTTCACTGAATTGCACTTGTTAAAGGTAGCAGAAATTTGATATCTCCATGACAAACAGGGTGAGAAATTATCAAGTGTCGAGCAAAGGTTCCTGCAAGATGAAGAGTAAAGTAAAACTTCTGTACATGATTATGCATGATTTAAATTATTTTAAGGACATTTGCACAAAGAAATTATTTTGTGTCAAGATTTATTTTCAATTACATACATTTTGTAGATGCAACCCATTCCAGGGGTTGCAACATATCAGCAATTGTGACACACTTGCAGCTAAACACAGCATCAGACACAATGCCAACAAAGAGACACTGACTTCCAACAGATGGTGTACTGCCATATTCTGCTCCACCTGAAGAGACAGAGATGCAAATAATAAATAAGTATAAGAGTGTGTAACTTCCTGTTGCTTCACATGCAATACACTTTACCTGTGTTAACATGACAGCCAGAGTAGGGTCATTGGTATAATGTAAACTGTAGCAGGTTTGGAATGTTGAAGGCAGCTCATTGTTTACTTCCACCTGGATAGGTGAACTGTTGAATGCAGGACACTTTGGAGGAAGTCTTTAATAAAAGTAAAAACACAAGTTGTAGGTTAACAATTAGCTACCACAGAATTAGCTACCAATGTATGTGCCTGTACGGAAACCATCCAGGTTTAGTAAACATCAGAAGTTACATTGGTGAAAATTTATTTTACAACTGATAATTGTAGATATGTTTTGTATTAAAAAAGATTGTATTTAATCATTTAAAATACTGGTATAAGTATTGTATTTTTTTCACAGATGAAAAAAATGTTAGATGTTAGTAGGCCACTGTTGTTCCCATATATAAAATTCCAGGCTCACTGTATGTTACAATATACAGGCCCTAATTGGATGTTAGGCATCTTAAACATTGGACATCTAAGGAAGAGTAAAAATCTGTGAACTTACGGGCTTTGAGGTAGGAGTTGTGTTGGGACACTTATAGCAATGCAAGTTTGGTAAGTGACTCCAGATGTAAACTGAAGAGTCACATTTACACTCTGATCACCTGTTGAAATACAATGTTTTAGTCATACATATCTTTTTAGTTGTCCCAAATGCATGGATGTTATGCATAACCAACCTTTAAGGTGTAATTGACCGGCTCTCAGTGTTGTAAACAGACTGTGGTTTTGTACCGGACCATTGGCTGTGCTGAGAGACACACGCAGAGGAACTTGCACATGTAAATGTGTGACTGAAGAAGAATTGTTTGTAGAGGTAGACACAGACTCTCTTTTGTTTTGTTTCCAGTTAGGATGAGTAGTGGCAGGGGAAACAAGCTCAGTTGAGTTTGCTCTGGGTTTAATGCACAGTTCTAACTGTGATAAGGAGGACAGCACATGGTTCCAATCCTAAAAGAGAACAATTGCAGATATTTAAGATATAAGTATTACAGTAATAGGCCAATAATAGTATTGTGCTAAAATTCATATAAATAAATGCCCAACACTTACCACGTCTATGTCAGGGTTTGGTAGACTATGGGTATAACTATACGAGGCCAGGCAGATAAAAGAAATAGCCAGACTCAATAGAGAGAAGAAAAATGTGACCATAGGAGGATTATGGAATACAAAATTTTTAATGTTGGTCACTGGCTGCCAGCAACCCATGATCTGACTGATTCCAGAAAACACATGGATTGTTAACCTGTGAATACATGATAAACAAATTATTTAGCATAGAATAGTCTTTATTTATAACTACTTTTACTTGGGTAGTTTTGTTTTCTCACAGCCATTTATTTTTACAAGCCTTTTGGCCTAGCTAAACTGGTACAGCAGCCTGGCTTCCCTGTTGGAGAACAAATTGGTTCCTCCCTAAGTTTAATGTTAAGCTTGCTTTAAATACTTAGAAAAGGAAAGGGTGTAAAAGAGGTGTATATAATAAACAGATTCGTTGTCTAAAGATAACTCTATATGATTGTTAATAATAAATAAATAAATAACATAGCATAGCATATTAGAAACATGTTAAAGTAAAGTAGGATTCAAAAAGGGGATTAGGCTTGAGTACATTTAGCAGCTGTGACATTTAAGAAGAGTCTTTTCCAATGTATTGGATACAACATTTGAAAATTTCTCAAAACTGTTGACTTAAATCTAGATCTGGAAACATGTAGTAATCGGTTTTTTTGTCCGGAATTTGGGCTGGTTGCATGGAACAGTTGGCTGTCAGTTTTACTGACATTGTAGTTAGAAAAATAAAATACAAAATACAAAACATACATTTCTGTATGATTGAGTAAAACAGAAATGTAAAAAAACAGCATTAGTAACATAGTAGAAATAATTACAGAAGTATTAGGTTGCTGCACAACTACTGTAAAAGCTAAAAGGAAACTTCATACCTTGAGTTCGAGCAGACATTGTCCCTTTAGTTAAAACGTCCGACATGTTGTTGTACACAATGTTTAGAAAGTATGTAATTTAGAAATGTTGTTAGGCAAAAAGACTGAAGCACGTATTAACTTTACATCTGCTTAGGCCCATATAGTTACTGAAAGCTTATACACATCCACGATAGCGCAGTCAATTTACGTCTGTCAAAAAACAAGTGACGTGTCTATGCTGCGTTCAGGACAATACGGAAATCAGATTTTTTGAAAACGCCGTTAACAAAATTCAGCATTTACTAATGAGAATGTTTATTATGTTGCCTATCAAATATAACAAAACGATAATACCACTATATATATATATATATATATATATGTATGTATATGTATATACATATATATACTGTATATATATACATATATATATATATAAACATATACATATATATAAATAAATACCTTCTCAATTTGATATTAAATTGACACCATTATGTCACTTTTGAGACTGTTTAATTAGTTATTGTTATATTTATGTTATATTTTAACATTTAGAGATATTAACTGCATCAAATAGGAACTTTACTTGACACAAGAACCAACAACAATGAAAAAAAACCCAATTCATTTATAAAGCCTTTATGAAACATGACATGATTTTATTGATTTCAATGCATCTTTTTAAAATGCTAATTTCAAGGATTAACAACCGTTAAAAACTATAATTTAAACATTGTTAAAAAATACAACACAAGAAAATCTTTTTTAATGTCTCACAAGCAATGTTGTTACAATGTTTGACTTCTTTGTTTTTAAATGTCAACACTTTTTGTTCAGCACGATCACAATATTATTGCACTCAATTGTAATGTTATTCAATTTGAAGACAATTGTATTCTAATAAGTCTTCATCTGACTTTTTTCAAATAATTCCTTTATCATTATGTAAAACTGCACAGATGAGCACTTGATATAATTCTTTAGGACAATTTATGTCCAGCTGACTTTAATTGGCTTAAACGTCCATATATCTGGTTGACCCATATGCATCAAATCTTTGTATGGAGAAGTGCTCCACTGGAAGGGTGATACCTGGTCCCAGGTTGGCCCGCTCACTGCCACCATGCCATAATCTCGAAACATCTCGTAAGATGTCAACTGTAGAGAACAATTTATTAGATATTTGTTGACACATGTATGCTCTACAAAATAGTATAGGAAACATTGGCTAGAGTTAAAATGAAATGAAAACCTTCATGTCTGTTCCTCCATGTGGTCTCTGTTTCAGTGCACCAAATGGATACGTTCCATTAGCTGGATTCAGGTCAGAGCGGGCGGAGATGGCATTCTCTCCATTTGCAGGGGGATTACAGCCTTCACACTTAGATAATGGATCTTCTTTAAAATTATTATACCTGAGGAAGAACATTCCATCATATATACTGTATATATATATATATATTGTATATAAAATGTTTTTGTTCTTTGCAGTTTTTAGGCAGAGCACACTAGAATAAACAAATTAAAAATACAATCCAAATTAATACATTTTGTATGACTCTTACCTCATGAGGCGGATCATTGATTCCACATCTTTGACCTCAGTCTGGTTCCTTCTAAATATCTGAGCCCGAGGATTCTGATCCAAAGAAAACCATGGACCAAACTTTTCTACGAGCTCATTGCAGCCACTTGCATTGAATATGTCCTCATAATATCTATAAATAAGCAATAACATACTTATTACAGAGTTGCTAAACTATAAAACAATAATTCTAATTCAGACCAAACTTTATGCTTCTAGACTTGTTACTTACGGTATATTGTAACTTGCCCAGTATCCCTTCTTCAGCAATTCGTTCGTTTTATCAGTGTAAACAACAAATCCTCTATAGAATTACATAAACAAAACTTATTCATTGTGAAAAAAAAAATCGCAGACAATGTGATCTTTGATTTTTTTTTTTTAAAGTTGATTGTGTTACTCACGGAATCTGCTCCAGGACAACAAAAAGATCTTCTTTAATGTCAGTCTTTCCTGGAGTGAATTGGTTGTAGTCCACTATCATCCACTGGTTGTTATACCTTAAAAGAATATTTTAAATTAGCTCAACCTCTTTACATATTTACAGTACACTTAATGTAAATAAGCTCACTGATAATAAACACAGTAACCTAATTATGGTTGTTTGGTTCACTGACTTCAAGTGCCTCCCAATAACAAACGGATAATTAACTGTTCACTTTCCCAATACAGGCAGAAAACAGCACAGGAGATTACATGTAGCACCGCTGAGTTCAGTGTTGGTTAAACAGTAACAAGAGTCTGCTTCTATGTTGCATTTGTGATACCCACGTTCCACTGTTGTATTTGCTAAATATCTCAGCCCACTGTTTGCCACTGACAGCCAGTCGATTGGCCACAATGTTCCTCAGCCATTCCATAACGGTTCCTGTGGGCTGCACATACTTCCACAAAGCAGGGTTGCTGTTGCCAATGGTAGTTTCTAATGTTACCTACAGACACAGGATGTCAAGGAACTCAATGAGGGCAAAAAATAGATATAATGATATTATATCTAGACTGATATATACATATATATATATAAACATATTAATATATATATAGAAATAAATACAGTGTGTACGGAAAGTATTCAGACCCCCTAAAATTTTTACTCTTTGTTATATTGCAGCCATTTGCTAAAATCATTTAAGTAATTTTTTTCCTCAATAAAGTAGAAATAATGTACACACAGCACCCCATATTGACAGAAAAACACAGAATTGTTGAAATCTTAGCAAATGTATTAAAAAAGAAAAACTGAAATATCACATTGTCATAAGTATTCAGACCCTCTGCTGTGACACTCATATTTAACTCACATGCTGTCCATTTCTTCTGATCCTCCTTGAGATGGTTCTACTCCCTCATTGGAGTCCAGCTGTGTTTAATTAAACTGATTGGACTTGATTAGGAAAGGCACACACCTGTCTATATAAGACCTTACAGCTCACTGTGCATGTCAGAGCAAATGAGAATCATGAGGTCAAAGGAACTGACTCAAGGAGCTCAGAGACAGAATTGTGGCAAGGCACTGATCTGGCCAAGATTACAAAAGAATTTCTGCATCACTCAAGGTTCCTAAGAGCACAGACAGACCTTATAATCCTTAAATGAAAGATGTTTGGGAGGACCAGTACCCTTCCTAGAGCTGGCCGTCCGGCCAAACTGAGCAATCGGGGGAGAAGAGCCTTGGTGAGAGAGGTAAAGAAGAGCCCAAAGATCACTGTGGCTGAGCTCCAGAGATGCAGTGGGGAGATGGGAGAAAGTTCCACAAAGTCAACTATCACTGCAGCCCTCCACCAGTCGGGGCTTTATGGCAGAGTGGCCCGACGGAAGCCT